TTAATCAGGGGCTCTTAATTTGTTGTTGTTATAGACCCCTTTGGCAATGTGCTGAAGCCCAAGTGGGGTTTTCAAGTTTGTGGACTCCAGGTTAAAAACCTTTGGGGTGGTCTGTACTGTGACATGTAGGTCTAAATCTATAATTGTGTGAACCCTAATTTTAGAGATGGAAAGGACTTTACCACTGAAAAACCTGGTATATCAAGTGAGGAAACAGTGATCCAGAGAAATGCTTTCTTGAGGATAGTTCCACCCCCTAGTATCAGGTAATTTGTGTTTTGGATGGGAGTCCATATAAGTACATTTGAGAAGCAGCATGACTTAACTCAAGTACCATCATTTAAAATTTTTTATTCCTGCTCTGTTTTTTGCTTTGTGACTTTTATTAGCTTCCTTAATCTCAGTGATCTATCTTCATTTCCTCATTTTCTGGGAAGAACCAAGTTAGTCTAGATACCTGGGAATATTTAGTTAATTCAGAAACTTCTTGAACAGTTAGTTCATTCTCTATTTCATACAACAGCCACTTTGACAGCCTGAATACCTTATGCTAGTAATCCAAGAAGGGGGATTTTAGGAATTGGATTCTCATGTCAGAAAGAATTTAGCATATGTTAGTTTTTTATGAGATACCAAAAAGCCAGATAGTGAGATAGTGTTATGTAAAGTGTGTGTGTGTGTGTGTGTGTGTGTGTGTGTGTGTGTGTGTGTGTGTGACAGACAGACACAGACATGGAGAGATGAAGAGAGAGATAGAGACAGAGAGACACAAGAGAGAATTTGTAAAGTCATAAAGTGAGAAAATCATGCTTGAGAGTATATCATTGGTGTCTCCTTAAAGATATTCAAACAGTTGGTCTGTTGCCAGCCTCATAAAGTCCAAGGTACCAATACTTAATTATTTCAGTGATTCCTTGGAATAAGATATCTGGCCTACTAGCCAATCACATAAATGATATTCTAGTTCCAAAGACCCTCATGCTTATAGACATTGTAGCTCATGTCTGATATGCCCCCCTTTATTTCCTCTACCTCTTAGAATTCTTATCTTTCTTTGGAAAACCCCTGGCATTTCTTCCTGAGGGAGACCCTTTTTGATCCCCAGTTGTTAGTATTTTCTACTTCTTGAAATTACTTTATATGGCTTTGTATATATTTTGAATTTGCTTATTTCTATGCATGCTATAGCCTCACAGTGGAATATAAATAACTTGAAGGCAAGAGATTTGTTCTTTTGGCATTTTTTCCCCCAACGCTAACACCATACCTGGTACTGTTGAACTGAATTAAGAAATGAGAGTAATGGGGTATGGGCCCAAGCCAAGACCTTTGCCCCTCACCCCCAAAAAGAATTTGGGTCCCATTTGTCTATGGGCCCCAGAAAACCCTTAAACTTTCTTTGACCTCACTCACTTGATCAAAGAAATCTCAAGTGGTTGCCTGAGGCTATAATCCACTCAATTGGCCTTTCTTTATCTCTTATTCTTATTCTAACCTACCTATTCTCCCTTATCATACTGCCCTGTCTCCCTTTGATATCCTAATGAAGCCTAGTCTTATCCAGACCCCATTTAACCTCTTCCTTCCCTGTCTTCCAGTTTTTTGTTACCCTAATAAAGCCTAGGGATGACTCCTTTCAACCTCCCAGACCCTCCTATTGGATTCTCCACCAGTTACTCCAGCTTCAGGATCCTCCCTCCAGCCCCTTCTTAGTCACTCAAAATTACTTGGCTGTATATAAGATCCAACCTAGCCCCCATTTAAGGGCAGAGATTTCCTCATGCCTTCTTGTCCTCATGAGGGTCACTAATGTTCAGATTCCTTAAGAGCCGGTATGGTTTATCTGTAAGAAACCTTGTCTTTGGTTGAAAGAAAACTTGGATTGAACTCATTTCTGCAGGACCTGCGTGTTGTGATTTCGGGGTCCCAGAACCTTTAGCATCAACACCTCAACAAGAGGATAGAGATATAGTGGAGCTGAATCACAGTGAGTTTTGATTGTGAAAAGTGAAAGAGAGGTAATCATTGTTTCCACCAGAAAACTTCCAGGTGAAGGCAACTGTTCAGCTCTTTTAGCAAAAGGAAGTTAGTCCTAGGTTTATTAAAACTTATGATTTAATTACCATTTTCCATCTTCAGGTAGTCTTCTGAAATTGAGACTTAATAGGCAGGAGACATATAGTATTACTTTGGTTTTTTGACTACTCTTCATGGCCTACCAAAAGTATGGTGTGCAGAGGTTCCCAAAGTGGATGATACTGCCCCCTGGGGGTGTTGGAATGATCTGAGAGGTAGTAGTAGCTTCAGGTATAATGGGGGGGCATTGCGTAAAAATAAGGGGGGTGGAAGCATAAGGAAAAAAGAGAAGAAAGAAAATTTTGAAAAACCGTTTGTACATGTTTCATCTGTGTAGCACAGTTTATCCTCTGTTGTGTAAGAGTTAAAGTTGCAGTGTTTACATTATTTTCCAAATAAACACACAAAATGCAAGTTATAACTGATCAGTGGTCAAGTCCACCGACAAACAAGTGTTGGCAGGTGATCATGTCACATTATTCAGAAGTCCAGCATGTATTAGCAGGAATATATGGTGTAAAGACTTGTTTACAATACAATACCATATGGTTACATGACACAATATTGCATCATCAAATTTTCAATACGGGAAAAAAAAAACCCAAGTTTACAATAAATAATTAAATTTAAGATGATTCATTTTAAAATATTTTATGTTTTTTGAAATGATGCACATTTTAAAAAAAGTTAAAGGATTAAAGAAAGATTTCGGGGGGGCACTGAGTATTTTTTTTTTAAAGAGGGCAGTAGGCCAAATAAGTTTGGGAAACTCTGGTATAGGGGATGTCCTGTCATAGCAATGAAAAATTCTGATTTTTTTCTAAATTTTGTGGGAAATTTTTTTTAAGTTTCTTGTGTTGAGTACCCCCTCCCCCCCCAAAAAAAGAGGCTGATTTTATCTATGTTGATAGGCTTACTGGTTTACCTATCACTCCAAATCTATTAAAATGGATTGAAAATCCAGATTTGTTTTTCCAATTGAAAATCAACTGTATTGTTTGTTCTTGAGGAACACATAGAATATTTCTTAGGGAATTTGCTGCTCATGCTTATTCTATTTTGCTACTACCAACAAACTTCAGGGAGTGAAAATGCTTATATATTGAGGAGAGAGCTTAGATCAATTGGGGATTGGTATGGAAAAGGAAACAAAAAACAAAAACAATTCCTGAGTGTCTAAGTTTTAGCAGCAAAGTTAGAACCAGCAAAGGAAGCACTCTGGGGGAAAAAAAAAAAGAACAATAGGTTTCTCTGGCACCAAAACAAAGATTAAGCTCAATGATACCTTGACCTACATCTGTAAGTCTCTTTTTGTTGTTGGTTAGTTATATTAGTCCTGTTTGACCCTCTGACTTCATGATCTCATTTGGGGTTTTCTTGTCAAATCCTGGAGTGGTTTGCCATTTCCTTCTCCAGTTCATTTTACAGATGAAGAAGCTGAGGCAGGCAGTCAGGATTAGGTGACTTGCCTAGAGTCATGCAGCTAGTAAGTGTCTGAGGCCAAATTTGCACTCAGGTCTTCCTGACTCCAGGCCCAGTGCTCTATCCATTGTGTCAGCTAGCTGAAGGTATAAACCCTTAGCACTTCATTAAGAGCTGCCCAGGTAACAGACTTACCTAAAATAATTTTTCTTGACATTTTCTGATTTTCCAAAAATATGGTAAGACAACGGCCTATAAGTTAAATACACACTCCTTTGTTTGGGATTGAGAGTCTCTCACAGTCTATCTCCTACTAATTTTTTTTCAGATTTTTTCCATGTTACTTTACCTTCTATATTCTCAATTCCCACTGAACTTTAATGCTTGCTGTTTCTTGTTCATGGCTGTCCTTTTTCCACTTCTGAGGACTTTGCTCAGGCTGTTGCCCATGTCTGGAATGCTCTCTATTCCCACCTCTGGCTTTTAGAATCCCTAACTCTTTTCCAGGCTCAGCTCAAATGCTACCTTCTACTAGAGACCTTTTTTGATTACTCTAAGTATTAATGCCCCCTTTATACCTAATATCTCTCTCTCTCTCTCTCTCTCTCTCTCTCTCTCTCTCTCTCTCTCTCTCTCTCTCTCTCTCTCTCTCTCTTTCTCTCTCTCTCTCTCTCTCCCCCACACCCACTGTGTTTTGAGGCAGTTGGTGGTTCAGTGAATAGCACTGTACCTGGTTTCATAAAGACTTGAGTATAACTCCAGCCTCAGAAAACTACTAGCCAAATAACCCTGGGCAAGTCACTTAATTTCTGTCTGATAAGCCTTACTTGTAAAATGAGGCTAATAATAACACCTACCTCCCAAGGTTGTTGTGAAGAACAAATGAGATAATATTTGTAAAATGCCTTGCAAATCTTCAAGTTCTATATAAATGCTAGCTATTATTTTAATAGTCTCCACACAAAAAGACCACCTCATAAAGGAGAGGACTTTTTAATCCAATTATTTCAATGATTCAGAAAGTAAAACCTGTGAGACTGGGATTATGTTGTAAACTTTTTCTTGTTTCTGTGCTTTCGTTGCCCAAATCCTCTGTGTTTTACCCTTCTCAAGGGCTAAAAGTGTATACATACAATAAGCATTCAATATAATATACAATGGAATTAAGAGACTACAGAGCAGGGAATATTTTTTCATTAAATACTATGTAGTCATGAAAGATGAAAGCATGAGATTCAAAGGGCTTTATCTTGTTCTTAGCATACCTCATTACCTCCTTTACCTTACCTCTTTCCATATTCTTGATTAATGATTCCTTTCAAAATTGACAAACTTGGAAATAATATCTCTTCCCTCTGTGGGTTGATCTGCTTTCTAAGTATTAGGCTAAGGTCATAGCTGTCTTGTGGTGAAGGAAAGAAATGCTTCATTCTGCATACATCATACACATTTAAATTTAATTTTCCTAGTTTATGCCTTCCATATCTCTTTATTTTCTGCAGGCTATACATCGATGGACCTTTTGGGAGTCCCTTTGAGGAATCGTTGAATTATGAGGTCAGCTTGTGTGTGGCTGGAGGTATCGGAGTGACTCCTTTTGCATCAATACTCAACACACTGCTGTATGTCACTTTGATGTATTATATAAGCCTTCTAGTCAATGTTTAGTCAAATAAAATGCTGTTACAAGAGATTATCTCTTTACTGTATGTAGTGCCTTTAAGACTTCAGCCTTTAGCAGTATAAATAACCAAAGTTGCTAGCTAAGGAGGGAATAATGCTGCAAGTGGTGTTATAGTGGGGCTACAGACAAAGTAAAGGTATAAACATGCCCCACAATGTCACATGTCTTTGCATTTGGTTCATACCCACCAACCTGCTCTCACATTATAAATATCTAAGTGACTAGAGATAAATTACCAGCACAGTTATATTCCCATTGTCTCAAGGGATAACATTATCCAGAAGAAATACACTTCTACTTGCCATTCTTAACTTAAGCTCCTAACCATAGCATTTTCTGCTATACAATCACTCACTCATGAGATAATATATCCACACATTGTGTGATATTTATACTACCTGCCTTTTACAATAATTACCCTTTGAGATCTTTAAGATAGTCATTTACTTAATAAGGCAAAATAAATAATATTATATATATTAATATATTAAAGAAAATGTGTAAATAACAAAATAGAGTATAATATACACATAAACCTTTATTATACCGTACAAACATTACACTCAAGTGAGTGGGCATATACTCAGAAAAATATGGTAAGGAAGCTCATAAAGGAGGAAAACTCATGCTTGGATTGCAGATTTTAATGCTATTAATCCATTTAGGAACATCTGTTCCACATGAAAATACTTCTCTGCTCATTGCTTGACTGTTGATTCTTACCACTCTTCAGCTGGCAAAGTGGTATTCTCTTCTTGAATGTAGCACTCTTTTAGTTATCTATCACCATTAAAATGGCATCTAGAAAGTGTTAGCTTTTAACATGAATAATAGGTCTCTTTAAGTTAAAGAATTATAAAGCTTATCAAACTGGCTATCTCTGGGCTATACAGAACAGACCAGTCCACTATTCACTCACTCAGATTTTGTGTTGTCTAGTTGGAATGGACAGAAGCACGGTTTAGGTCACAGACATGGGGAGCCTGCAGCTTGAGGCCACATGTGGCCTTCTAGGTCCTCAAGTGCAGATCCAAGTTTGGATTCAAAGACCACACTTGAGGACCTAGAGGTGCAGGTTCCCCACCTCTGGTTTAGGATGACTTTTTAGACTAGCTCACCAGTTTGCCAAAACAACTCAAATCACTCTCTCATTTTGCTTTCAAGCCAGAGGTAGCAGCATAGAGGAAGTCCTCATGAGCAGCTTCATCTGTCTCCAACTCTAGGTCATGCTGAATGGCTATAGCTATCCCTGAAGCTCTTGGCCAGGAAAGTCAATTCTCTTCCTACCCATCAAGAATCAATCAGGGGAATTATTTTGTTTACTGAATGTTTTCAACTGCCACGGAACAAACAGAGCAGCTTTCAACAACCAGCACACTTCCCCTCCCTATTCAATTCTTCTGCTTATGTTCCTATGTCATGTTCTTCTCTTGTATTTCTTTACCTGTAAATCACTATCATTCAGTGAATTATTTGAATCTCCTGATTCTCAGTGATTTACCTTTCATTTAGAAAGTCATAGCATACTAACTTTCCCATTTCATATCAATAGTTCTTTTAAAATCATACCTCAGTCTCTAAGTGTTCGTATGATTTCTCTTTTTAAAATATATTATCCTCAGTCATAAAACATGTATAGATCGGAGTTCCTCATATTTACAGCTCTAAAAGCTTCAGCACAGTCATCGATGTCTTTGGTGCCCTTGAAACTGTCTTTCCTTACACTCACATTTCTCTAGTTTTTAATAAATAAATTACCTATATCTGCCTCTTTATAAATTAAACTGTTGAACTAAGTCATCATTCTACATTGTTCACAAGGAAATTTGTGTATTTATACTTATACCACAGATCATTTTCTATCCCAAACTGTCCAGATCTTGTCTGAAAGTTATTGTGCTTCATAAGCACATATTAGCAGTAGAGCAAAATAAAAATGTTTTTCTACTCATTACGTATCAGAATGCTGGCATTAATGCTTGGCAATATTGTAAATATTTGCTGATGAATATAAGAAAATCTTCTTTTACACAAATGCATCTTTTCTGTCATTGTCATCATTAAACTGCTTCATATGAAAAGTGCCTTAGAGACACAGTGTACTTTACCCAGGCACTGCTGATCTGTACTTTGGAAGGCTTTAAATCCCACTCCACAGATCCCCAATCATGTGACTTGCTGGATTAGACTAGAATGGCATATTCTTCTCTTTACTCTTTTCATCAAATCTTTTTCCATTGTCTGCAAGTGAACCATATGCTTTCTGGAAAAAAAAAAAGTGCTGCTACCCTCTTGTTCCCCCAGTGAATGTCTAAGAAATGATACAAAACTAAATTACTCCTACCCATCTATCAAGATAGCAGGCTTCCCATATTTAAATTTATCTTTAGAAGAATAACATCATAGGAAAACTGATTTAGGACTAAATAAGACTTTAAAAGTAATTATGTCCAGGCTAATTTTGCAGATGAGGAAAGTTAGTCACAGGTAATTTGGGTGACTTGTCCAAGGCTACACAGATAGTAAGTGACAGAGTTATGATTTGAACCCAGGGTTTTCAATTCCAAATCTCATACTTCTTGTACTGTGCTACTTTGCTAACTCTCAATAAAATCAGATTCCTTTTAATAAGGGAGGAAATGAGAAGAGGGTCCCTTGGCCTATCCTGATTCATAGTCTTACTAATCATGGGTGAAAGAGTGAGGCTTGAAGCTATGTTCTGTCTCCAATTCCTATAAGCTTCCTCTTAATCTCTCCGTGAAACAAATTTCAGTGCTCTACTATTCAACACTCTTTCCTCCCAGGACCTCAGTATTACTGGCTAACTGGGATCATAGGATTTTGAGCTGGATGGGAAATTAAAGAGCATCTGTCTCCTTGTTTTACAAATAAATTGTGGCCCAGAATGGTAAAATAACTTTCTCCACAGGTACATATACAGTAGTAGCAATGAGTCAGAATTCAACCTCAGGCCTTATGACCCCCAGTCCCATGCTTTTTTTCCCATTACAATGTGCTACCCACAAGAAGCCTAAGGAAAGTACTGTTCTTAGATGACAGCCCAATTTATTGTCATCTATAATGTCCAAATTCTACTTCAATCAGTACATAATCTCCTGGGGTGGGGGGAGGCATCACAGTGAGGTAGAAAGAATATATTGGATTTGAGGAGGTCATAAATTGGATTCCCAGCTCTGCTTCTCATAAATTTTATTGTCCTTGGGAAAGTAACATAACTTTTTTTAAATCTCACTTTGCTCATCTATAAAACAGTGCAGGTGGTGGATTATATTAGAGAACTAAGCTTCAAAGATCCATTTCAGCTCTAAGTCCTGTCATCCCCTCACCTCAATGGGTATGAGAATAAAAGAAGTATTTAAGCCTTACCTTGTAAGAATATAGTATAGTAGATAATATAAAAGGCACTCCATGGGCTTTCGTATGAAGCTTCAAACTTTAGCCTAGCAATAATAAAGCAGCATTTATTCATCATATGCTTTTTCTGGAATATCGTGCTGGCTGACTAAGCTCTATCTGGCTAACAGTATTCTGGCTATAAGGAGTAAGAGAGGCAGCATGTTGTAATGCTGATTTTGCTGTCAGACTTGGGTCTTGCCTCTGAAGCATAATAGCCATGTGACCATGGACAACTCACTTAATGCTCCAGACAGCTCTCAGAGACTATAAATTATAGTCCAGTAGCATATCTGTGTTGATGTAGGGAGTTTGCACACTAATATTTCCCAACACCAATGAAATCATAGACAGGCCAAAAGAAAAGGTTAAAGAAAGAGACCCATTAATAGGACCAAAGGAAAAAAAAGATAAAAAAAAGAATGGAGGGAGGGAAGGAGGTAAAGACAAAGGGAAGAAGGACAGAAAAAAAAGAAGGGGGAAGGAATGAAAGAGGGAGGGAGGAAGGAAGGAAGGAAGGAAAGAAATTCTACTCAGGAGCTAGATGACTCCAGCTACAGTTTCCTACTTTTTTCTACCTACCAAGTAGCTACCTATTTTTCCAAATAATTTCTTTAATAATTACTATTGCTTGGACATAGACTCCCACTTGTAATTTCATTTTGGTTTCATAACCCTATTTTCAGCCTGATTGTGCTACTTACCCTGGTGGTCAAAGTATGCGATGACATTTGATACCTGCTGACAGTACCAAGTCATTTACATTTTTTTTTAAGAAATTCTAGCAGGTATAGAGCTGTAAGCTAGTTTCCTGAAAGATATATTATTTATAACCACTGTTAAATATTATTTTCCTCTTCACTCTAACACAGCGTAGCCTTGCCCATGTAGCATTTTCTTGGACTTCAGGCAGGATCAGAAATTATATTTCCTTTCTCTCCTCCCAACCTTAGATTTCCTTAGTAAACACTTAGGGATTGGAGATAGGGATTGAGATTGGACCTGTGATTTCTCTGTTATAGGGAACTCCTGGGAAAGGTAATTCCCTCTGAAGCTTGTACCTTCTCCTTTTCCCACTATGCCCCTGTCCCCCCCCAAAAGTGAAGGATCATTTAATTTTTTTCTTTAGTGAAAATCAAATAGAATAAGAAAAGAAATGTGTCCACAATTTGACCCAGCTAATTTATTTTTATCAAATGACAGAAAGCAGAACTATCCAGTCTTTATTTTGACTGTATCTCTATATTGTAAAAAAAAAATCCATCAAATTGAGATATCAACATTGGAATAAAATCTTTTGAGAAGTTGTGAGTTCCTTGTCATTGTGAGTATTCAAACAAAACATTGATGGCCATTTGGCAGGTCTGTTTTTAGGGGCTATATGCATGAGGTAGGGAATTACACTAGATGACCTTTTTTAATTCCAAGATTTAATGATCCTTTGTTATTCTCCCACCGACACAGTGGCAAATAGAAACAAGGTAAATGTATTCCATAGCCTGAAAAAATATTGTAAGAATCATAAATCTAGGCATCATCATAGGAGGTTAGGGGTTAGAACTTCTTGGAATTGGATTTGATTTTATTTTTCTAGCAGAACTATAGTGGGAAATGATGGAGTTTGGATACTTAAAAATTTTTTAAGAACAAAAACAGTTGTGATCCTGGGGACGTAAGTGTTTTGTGATGAGTCAAGTTGCACACGTCATGGTGAAGACTCAAGACCACAGTAACCCATTGGGATCTATTTTTCAAATGTTTGCTTATGGTTCATAAATACCTCCTTCTGGTTCTGATGATTTTCTACATTTCCTTTTTCTCAATACTTAGTATGAAGAAAGTTGCATTCTATGACAATGCATTCAATTTCAAGGGGCACTATTAGTTTTTTTTTTATAAGAATAAAATGTAAGCTAGAAACAAGTTAGCTTCTCTATTGTCCTATAAAAGAATCCTAAGTTTACAGTACATAAAATATTATTACCTGAAACATATCAATTTTTTGAAAACTGGATTGGCCCCCTCCAAATGTCTAAGAGTTTTAATCATCTTGATTAGAAATGGACCATTGTCAGTGGAGATAGAACATTCAATGTATGGTCACTTTTTTTTTTTTTGGTGAGGCAATTGGGGTTGAGTGACTTGCCCAGAGTCACACAGCTAGTGAGTGTAATGTGTCCGAGGCTGGATTTGAACTCAGGCCCCCTTGACTCCAGTATCAAAGAATAGCTAAGAGTATGATCAATACAATGATCCAAGACAATTCCAAAGAACTCATGATGAAAAAATGCTATCCACCTCCAAAGACAAAATTGATGAATTCTGAAAGAAATTGAAGCATGGTTTTTAATTTATTTTTGCTATTTTTAATAACATGGCTAATATGGAAATATGTTTTCCATGACCACATGTATAACTGATATCATATTGATTTCCTTGTCAGTGGTTGGGAGGGGCTGGAGGAAGGGAGATAATTTGGAAATCAATTTTTTTAAATCAGTGTTAAAAATAAATATTTAAAAAAAAGAAAAGTATATGGCTAAACAAAATCAGACTTCCTCCACCAGAAATGTTAGTTTCCTTATTTTCACTCGTAGTTTTGTATATTATCCATATCAAAGAATATAATCCCATGTCTCTGTAACTTCTACATGTACAATTTTAATTGAAATCGGTTCAAAATTAGAGAGGATAAGCCCATTTGGAAACTTTGCTTGACCATAACTTTGCTTCTAATGGAGGCCTGGATCTCAGATTGAACTTAACATGAATTTTGGCTCCTATCAACAATTTAGCAAAATTTATTAGTCAGTTCTTTCAAAAATTCTGATGAAATGGAATAGTCAAACAATGAGGGAATAGCAATCAGTCAGTATGAAACAGAAACCTCATTTTTTTGCACTCCACAATGTAATCACTAATAGTTTTTTTTTAAATTGTAGATGGTGTAAGGCTAGGTGAGTTAACATGTATTATAGCTACTTGAGATAAACTTTGATGTGTCTAAATTCTGTGTGTGTGTGTGTGTGTGTGTGTGTGAGAGAGAGAGAGAGAGAGAGAGAGAGAGAGAGAGAGAGAGAGAGAGAGACAGAGAGAGAGACAGAGACAGAGAGAGAGAGAGATAGAGATTTTAGAATATTAATATTCATCTTTGGGTCCAATATAGAGACTACAATTTAAAATTGCAAAATATATGAAAGACAACAAAATACTTTAAAATAACAAGGAACATTAGTTCTTATTATTTAATAGCTGAATTCCTCTTTACACTATACCATGATTGATTAAAAAAATAAAAAAAAATACAAGAAAAATAAAAATAGAGAGATAGCTCTTGAGTCCTGCTGTGAGGGTCACCCAACTGATTCAGCCAGGCAAAAATGGAGAGGATTCAAAGGTAAGATCCCTTAACCAGAAAATGTTCTGCCATCAGCTGCTTTAAATTGGAGACGTCAGCAAAAGTTCACTGAATGGTCTTATTTGGCATAAAATCTCTCAAGAAAAATGTCAGCAGGAAATTACCACAAAAAAAAGTTCCTGTATCTTTCTAAAGTAGACATAAACCTTCACATTAAAAGTCCATTTTGGGGATTGTAAAAATAGAGAATAAAAAAGAAAGATATATTTATGTGTGTTGTGTTTTTCTCTCCTCTCCATCTATCAGATGCATTGTATAAATTTGGGGACATTAGAAATACTTAGAAAAATAACTATATTTTTCTAGCCAGAGTAATTTGTTTTCAATAGCACATTAGAGACTATTTGGACATCCCCTTTGTTGGGAGAACAAATTCTTAACCTCAGAACTAGTTCATCATCATAATAAAAAGGAACACAGACTCTTGGAATGTGTGACACTGGAATCCATTACATAGGGTCATTGTGCAATATTCTCCCCTGAAGATTTTTAAAAGTAGGGTAAACAACCCATTTTCTGGAATGGCTCTTGGGCGGATTTCTGGGAAGACAGGTCAAGATCAAATGACCTTTGGAGTGAGATCTCTATAGCCACATGATCCAGGGAAATCCAGTGTGTTTTTTTACCCCCCCCAAGAGTTCAGGTCTGGTATTAATTGTGATTTATGTGTCATTTTTTTTTGCATTGATTTATCAGACAGGTGATATGGTGATACATAGTAGACAGCCCTCAGGTGTAAATGTTTTACTCTTGGGATTCATGCATCATTACTCGGAGGTTTGGTACCAGTGTTTTGTTTTAAACTAATGTGGGGCTTCAGTCACTGATACATTTTCAGACACCAAGATGTAAATAGGCTGCTCTACTTATTGATTGTTTTCTAATAGCAAGTACGTTTTCTAAGGCATGCCTTTGATCACTTTTTTGCTGCCTTATTCCCTAACATAGCATTTTAATTTTAAAGGGATGACTGGAGACCTTACAAGCTCAGAAGACTGCATTTCATCTGGGTGTGCAGGGATATCAAGTCCTTCCATTGGTTCGCAGATTTACTCTGTGTGCTGCATAACAAGGTAATTTGGTAAGGAAACAATGGATGGGTGTTCTCCCTGCCCCCCAGGGCATAAATGCCGGCTCTTTGTGATACTGGCCTTTCATTTATGCCTTTTAGAGAGCTGTTTAAAAGAATCAGCTGGATTGTTGTCAATAATGACCAATGTGTCAAGAAGCTCTATGGAAAACCAGAGAAAAACAGGGCTGTGGGGATGAAAGGGTAGGGAAAGCATAGTTAGCTTTATCAGGGAAGCACAGTGATTGAATATATATAGCCTCAGCATGGTGGTGGAAAAATCAGTGGATTGACAGGCAAAGGACTTAAGATCTCACTTTGGAGGTCAGCCATTCACTCCTGGTGAAACCTGAATCTCTCTGAGCTTCAATTTCTTTGTCTGCAAAATGAAGACTAAATGACCTCTAAGGTCATCTTCCGGGTCTAAATTGATGATATTGCCCCCCCCTACTCCCAACTATGCTCAAGGAAAACTCTTAGAAAAGGGAGAAAGGGATAACCTTTCCATCTTTTTCTAATTGAAAAATTCTGAGTTTTTTTTTGTTATTCAGCAAAAATGTTTAAATTTCTGTTATATGCAAAGTATTGTGCTGTCCTAATAATTATAACCACACATTTCTATTGCGCTTTAAGATTTTCAAACCTCTTTCTGCACAGAAACCCTGTGAAGGTGGTAACAGCCCTGTTGGCTTCTAAGGAGAATTTTAAATCTATTTAGGTTCTTACTTTCCTGCCTTTAGGGAGTACCTGCTCTGCAGGTAATCTGTATACCTGTCCTTAAGAGCTTTAGGGACTGAATATAAAGTGCAATATTTATCTGTTGTGATTAGGTAGGCACCAAACAATTCAATTCAACAAACATTTTTTTTAAGCCCTTAACTGTGTTTTGAACGGACTATATACTAAATGCTATCCCTGGTCCTGAGGAAGATTCAAAGTTTAGGTAAGACAAAGTTGCTGCTTCCTGAGCTTACAGTTTAGTGAAAAGAGAAAGTACAAACGTGCAATTACAATACTTAATATATGATACATGCTGAGTGTGATAGAGGAACATAACAAAAGCGTTATGTGAGGTCCAAGGGAGAAAGTTGTTAATGACCTGGGTGTAGCAAGCAAAGCTTCATAGAGGAGGTGGCATTTACATTTGGTAACTAAAAGGTAGGAATTGAAAATTGCAAAGTAAATTAAACACCATTTTCTGAGTTGCAACTTACATTTACTTCATGGTAAATTCCAACAGAATGGATAGAAGCATAGAACCAAAGTGGCTATTAGACCTAAAAATATGATTCATTGCTTAGGATTAAGAATATATCATCTCTGTAACTTTTCAAAAACGTGCATAGATGCCTCGTATGCTTCTATACGAGTTCACAAGCTGATTGCCTCTCTCCTGGACTATTGCAATTACATCCTAATTACTCTTGTCTCCTCAGATCTTTCTTTTTCAATCTGTTCTCTACAGCTGTCAAAGTGATTTTCCTGAGATGCAGATCTGACCAAGTCACTGGCTCCCTGTAACCTTGAGGATCAAATACAAAAATGTTCTTTCACATTTTAAATCACCCTAACCCCAACTGACTTTCTAGACTTCTACATTTCTCTACTTACACTCCACTAGCAAACCAAGCTTCCTTTCTTGCTGCTCCTCGCACGTGCCATTCTGTCTCCTGTATCTGGGCCTACACACGGACTGTACACCACGGCTGAAACGTACCCCTCCCTTGCATGTCTTAGAACCCTTAGCCTTCTTCAGGGCTCTGTTCAAGTGCAGTACCTTTCATGAGGCCTTTCTTGATGCTTCCAGATGGGAGTGCCTCCCCTTCAGCCACTTACTTTGTATTTATTTCACACACACACACACACACACATACACACACACACACACACACACACTGGTATATATCTATGTGTATGTACACATCTCATCTTCCCAGAGACAATGATGGCAGGAATTTTTGTTTTTGCCTTGTATCCTCTGCATGTACCCTGGTTCCTGGCACATAGTGCCTAATAAATGCTTGTTGGTTAATTGAATTCTTATTGTTTATTCTCTCCCTAACCTTTTGCAATCTTTTTTTTCTCTTTGCCTACCACTCTTAATGAAACAACTCTCTTAAAAGTCAACAATATCCTTTTAGTAACGAGTAACTTATTTTTAATCCTTATTCTTCAGTTCTGGAGGCAGGTAGGTAGTGCAGTGAATATAGCACAGGGCCTGGAATCAGGAAGACCTGAGGTTAAATCCAGCCTCAGCCACTTATTATCTGTGTGGCTTTGGGCAAGTCACTTAACCACATCTTGTCTCAGTTTCCTCAGCTGACACTAATAGTGTTTCCTCTACTGTAAAATGAAGGTCATAATAGCATTTACCTCCCACGGCTGTTGTGAAGATCAAATAAGATAGTTTTTATAAGGTCCTTTGCAAATCTTAGAGCACCATATAAATGTTAGGTATTTATTATTATTATTATTATTATTATTATTAATTTACTTTCATTGGCTTTTACTTTTTTATCTCCTAAATTGAGTGTTCCATCAAGGGTGTGTCCCTGGCCCTCTTCTAAATTCTCCCTTGGCAATCCCATTCAGTCTCAAGCTTTCAAATGCCACCTCTATATAGATGACTCCCAAGTCATTATCTCCAGCTCTGTCCTTTCTTCTGAGTTCCAGACCTGGAACTAGAACTATGTAAAGAATACTTGCATCTAAATGTCTCACCATTACTTAAAACTTATAATATTCAAGATTGAAGTTTTGATCTTGCCTTTTAGACCTGTTGCTGCATTTTGATTTTACATTTTTCTGTTAGTGGTGCCATCTGGTCTCCCTTATTTGAAACCATGAGGCTCTTTTTGACTCTTACCTCTGCTCAAAAATACAATCCCTATGAACTTCCTTCAGCACTATCTCTTAAATCTATTTCCTTTTTTTTTTGTCTTCCTATTGTCACCACCATGGTGAAAACCTTCAACAAGACATCATTACAACCCATCTGGATTATTGAGATTACTTTCCCTTAATGGAGGGCTATCCATCTCCATTCTCTCTGCCATCCATTTTATCCTTCACTGTTGCCTAATTTTCCTCAGTATAATTGTATCTCTCTATTGTTACCTATAAATGAATCACTCAATAAACATGTACTAAATGCTTACTGCTTGTCAAAAACGGTACTAAACACTAGAGATATATAAAAAAATATTAAAAACATAGTCCCTGGCCTCAAGGAGCTCACATTCTAATGAAGGAGACAACATGTATGTACATATGAGATATATACAAAGAAGGTCATCTCAGAAGGCACTAGCAATCCTCTGAATCTCCTATGATTTCCTAATTTTGTCTTTGTTTATATTGTTTCCTATTCCTGGAATGTTTTTTCTCAGCCTTTTCTTCCACTAGATCATTACAGACCCTTTAATACTAAACTCAAATACCCTTGATTTCTTTATCTCTGCTCATATTTTCTTTGAATACTGACCTTTTCTCAGACATCACATGGCGCTTTTTATACCTTTTTTTAAAAAAATATACTTACAAACTGTATGTTCCATAAGGACAGAGACTATATTTTCTCTAAACTTTGCATCTTCCTCAGTACCTTGAACAATATTTTGTTCAGAATTGGATATGTGATATGTAGGTCCCAGTTTTGGCAGAATTTGGAATCAGAAAAACATAGAATTTGGCAGGAAATAATGTGTGCAGGAAAAAATAAAACAATGCGCTGGTATCTTTTTTTTTTTTACTATCCTCCCAGCTTTGGCAGGAGAACCGGCCTGACTATGTGAACATCCAGCTGTACCTCAGTCAGACAGATGGAATACAGGTATGTGACTAAGGCTGTCTGAAATGGCAGCAGGCTTATGAGGCCTGTTATGGGGAGATCTGGCATGGCAGCTGAAGCCCTCAGGTAATTAAAAGAAGAAGCCATCAAGCAAAAAGCTATCTTTTAAGGCATTTTTTTTAAAGACGTTCTGTCCCAAGGGCCTTCTCCTCAGAATCTTGTGCTTAAAATTCCCTTTGATTATCCTTGAAGCTATCAGTGGCTTCCAGTGGTCTGCATACAGCCTGTAACAGTAGGTATGCTTTCATGAAGGTTCTCTGTGCTGGTTTGGGGGGGGGGGGGGGTGTCAATAGAGAGAGAAGATGAATGCACATTTGACCTAATTTCCTTACAAGAAAATCTAGCATTGAAGAGTAAGACAGATAACCACAGTGATAATAATAACTACAACAACTCACATTCCTATAGTGCTTTATGGTTGATTTAGTTCATTGGTTATGGTTTGACTTTAGAAATTTTTTTGTCTTTCATTTCTGAATCATCCTACACATTAGGTATGACTAGGTGCCATTCTACCACAGTTAATGTCCTGATTTCTACCTCAACTTCCTGTCTAGCGCTCTGCCTGCTGGCAACATCATATCTCTCTCTACTCTAACCCTCCTATTCAATTCCATTACTTCTTGTTAATTGTAAGCATCATTTAGTCAACAAACATGTCTTGAGAGACCATTGTATACATTGCCACTACACCAAGACCTTCAGACCATTCTTTTATATTAAACTTGTCATGGCTGCAAATATATTTTCAAATTTATGGTGCTCCTTCGTAGTATTTCACTTGTATAATTAGTTAGCTATGACATTAGTCTTTGTGTTGTAACAGCATCTATAAAATATCTGTGCTGAGAATGAATAATTAAATCACATTCTTTGTTACACACTATGGTTGTTTAAACAAACAAGTCAAAGAAATTGCAATTTGTAATTTGTAAGAATGGCATTCAAGGCAATTGTAAGGAAAAAGAGGAAAAGAATAATTCCTAAAAGTAACAGTTAATGCCTTGCCACTTAATTCTTAAATGTTCTTCATGATTTGGTAGGGAGCTGTGGTGTTAGGAATAATGTCAGAGCAGTGGGTTATCTCAAAAAATCTGTAAGTCGTGCAAAATGAAACATTGTATTTTTGGCAGAAAATAATTGGTGAAAAGTATCAAGCACTGAATTCTAGACTTTTTATTGGAAGACCTCGATGGAAACTTCTCTTTGATGAAATAGCCAAATGTAACAGAGGGTAAGTACTGATCCTATAGGATTTTGAAACGTAGTTAGTGATTAAATTAATATCATCACTTATGGTGTTTGCTTTTCTAAGGTATCACAGTAGCTGACGTAAATGCAATATTGAAATGTTTTAGGATGCATTATTAGAGTACTTCCTTTTTTTAGATGAACTTCAGATGGCAGCTAAGTGGTACAGATGATAGAACACTAGATCTGGAGTCAGGAAGTCTTGATTGTGATTTTGGCCTCGAACACTATCCAGCTGTGTGACTTAACCTCTGTCTATTAAGTTATCTCATTTGTAAAATGGGGATAACAATAGCACCTACTTCCCAGGTTGTTGTGAGGATATTAGATGACATGTACAAAGTGCTTTGTAAATCTTAAAGATCTATGTAAATATTATTAATATTAAAGAATGACTGTGAAAACTTGCACATAGAAATGCTGCAATTTCCGCCTCAGTGGAGGAAAGACTGACCTGAATAAGCAAAAATAATATAGTCCACTTACATCTCATAATGTCAAGGAAGTGACCTTGAGTTCTAGAAACCCATACCAGTAGAGAATCTAGATTGTTGTAATAGTCTTTTAATTGGTCTCTCTTCCACCAGTTTTTTCCTCTCAAGGAAGGACTCACAGAGCCACCCAAATAATCTTCCTTATGTGCAACTCTCACCACATAACTCACCTGTGGAAAAAGCGTCTCTGCCTCCCTATTGCTTATAGAATAAAATACATGACATTAAAAATAAGGCTCTTTATAATCTGATTTCCATCTACCTTTATTTAATATGATTGCCCATCTTATCTTCTACATTTCAATCAAACAGATCTACTAACTGTTTCCTGTTATCTCTAGGTACCATGCATTCATGTAAGCTCAGCTCAGGTGCTACCTCATCCATGAAACGTTTCCTGATAACTCCCCATACCCATTCCTTTAATTGAAAATAATTTCTTTTTTTTTCAACTTTTCTTAGAATATTTTGTCTGGGTCCTTCCTTTGCTTCTTTCACATTCTACCTTGGATCATCCTTATATGTCATATCTCTCCCCTCACCTCAAGTAAATTATAAGGATCTTGATGTCACATAAAATGAAGTTTTTCATCTTGATGTCTATAGGATCTAGCACAGTGCCTTGTGTCTTGTAGATGCTTTAATGAACGTTTGTTAAATTGAACTGAAATGAATCTAGGCTAATCCTCTCATATAACAGTTGAGGGAACTCAGGTACAGAATCAAGGGAATTGCCCAAAATTACACAGCTAGTTAAGGCTGACTTTAAGTTCTCATCTTCATTTTGCTGCTCTGATTAGGGCTACTTCCTTGAGGCTTTTTCAGGAATATTTCCTGCTCCCTCATGTCCTGAATCCTTCCTCATTAGAACACACACACACATATGTGTATACACACATGCACCCCCCCCCCCCCCACCCCCACACAGAGTCATCCCCTGCTTGGTTCCAGGAGCTGCCTGCCTTTTCATTCCTAGTTCTTAGTTCTACTCAGATTTCAACATGCTTCCAAGTTTCAGCTTTCCTGTGCTCATCGAGCCACCAACCACCAACTTCCTAAGGTTCTAGTGCCAGGGCTTCCTTTTTAAAGGTAAAATTGGTTATTCCTATACCTTCCAGACTCCCCATTCAAGACGAATCTATGACACTTCTAGCACTCTCTGTGAATATATTCAATGCTTTCTTTTACTTTCTTTTCTACTTATTGTTTTCATTCCCTTACCCAGGTGGAATTTTTTGTTTCATCCCATCTACTGCTCAGCTGAGTCAACAATTCATTCTTCATCAGTAGCATAACCAACACAATTTTTTCTTCTCTTTCATTCCTTCACTCTTCTCATTCTTATCTTTTCTCTGTTATAAAGGAACATTTTCATGAAGAAAACATGGGTATATGTGTGTGTGTGTGTGTGTGTACGTATTTGTAAAACATAGATCTTATCTTTTCATATGATGGGCTTAAGTCCAATCATGTCACTGAGTTGAATGAAACTGATTACATCTGCCCCAAATGCCTATTATTCCTCTAGCTAGAAAATAGTTCTGACCCAGAATTCAGACATTAAGCCCTAAGTACAAAGGAAGTTAGTTAAAAGGTAACTTGAAAACATATATAGAGACTTGAAAATACTTTTTGAAATTGGAGCGTCTGTGATATGGTTTCATAAACTATAAAGGGGGGGAGAAAAGAGTGTTCATAATATGAACACATATTATGGTATTTCGTGTCCTTATAAAAACATGAATGATGGAAAATTAGTGCCAGCCAACTTGACTATCTATACTCTGACCCCACTCTACATATCCCCAAAAGAAAATATAATTATTTTGTTAGGTACTTCTCTAATATTTCACAGGCTGCATAAATTTTATCATTGTCAATATTTATTGCTATTGTTGGGCTCTATCAGATGCACTAAACTGGCTCAGATCACTTCACTGTACCTAAATATTCCTTGGCTTATGATCATGTATTTGCATTTGGGTCACCAGCAGAGGAGACTCTTCCTTATTTGGTAGGAAGGGAACAAGATTTATTAAGCACCTACTATGTACAAAGCACTGTGCTAAACTTTACAAATATTATTTAATTCTGTCTTCCCAACAGCACTTGTTGCTATTATTTTTCCCATTTTACATTTGAGGAAACTGAGTCAGAGAGAGGTTAAGAGATTAGCCCAGAATCACACAGCTAGTAAATATCCGAGTCTAGACTTTGAACTCAGGTGTTCCTGACTTTAGCATTCTATCTACTGTGCTGCCTACCTACCTGTATGGTAATGTAATTTAGTTGATGCTTATACAGCATTTTAATGTTTGTATAGCTCTCTACATGTCGTAGTTCATTCAGCAACATCAAACTCTTTCATGTAGGTGCTATTATCCTCATTTTACAAATGAAGAAACTGAGGCTCACAGAATTTAAGGGACTTATTAAATCTGCTTACTTCAGTCTACTACTGTTTTGACTACACCATGATAATTACCTAGCATAGACTAGCTGACTTTTTCTTCTAAGTAATAAAATCATAGAATCATGGATTTACATCTGGAAGGGACCCAAGAAGCCATTTACTACAACCTCTTTATTTTGTAGCTGAGGCCCAGAGAGTTTAAATTACTTAACAAGGCTATGAAAGTAGTATCAGAGATAGGATTTGAATTCAGGACCTCTGATTCTGAAGTCATCATACCTCAATTTTTCTTTAGAAATAAGAAATAAGAAAATGATGAACACATTATAGCTATATAAAATGACATCTGGTAGCATTGTAGCATAAGGGGGAAAACTGCCAGCCTGAAGGTCAAAAGATCTGCATTGTAGTCCCACTTCTTCCACTTAGCTTTCTATCCATATTCACTGAAAAGTCACTCCTTTGGATCTGTTTTCTCATTTGGAACATCAGCAGGTTGGACTAGATATGTTTTGAGGCTCTTTCCAGTTCTAACAATATGGGAGTTTATGTACAAGTGAGATACCTCATTTGAAACAAGTATATGAAGGTTCCATACTATCTAGAATGAGTTAACACATCTCAAACTTTTATTTAATTATGCTTGTCTTCAGTTGTTGTTCTCTTAGTAAATACTGGGGTTCTGCCAGCTTAATTTACAGCTACCTCAGAAATCACATTAAGACTTTCTGCACCTTGTTCCTCAACTGTTTGTCAGCATCAGGAATCTCAGTGTGAACTCCATTCTGAGGCTATTCACACTGGTAAAGTTATTCTCCTAAGTGTGTGGATATTCTTGACACAACAGAAGGGAGAGAAAAATCTTTTTTTTATTCTTAATTCTACACTGTTTCTCTCTAACTAAAATTTTTTAAGGAATAACATGACCACTTTTCTGTGAGTACTTTCTTTACTTGAAACCTAGAGTCAGTGAGAACTAGTAAATGGAGGTAGTACAGACCCCTTTCAATTTGGTATGTCTCTATCAAGAGTATGTGCTATTGTCCCAGCTTCTTCCTTCCATCTCTGTGGCAGAGAGACTATAAATCCTCACTTGGCTATTGCAGGTTTAGCATAATATGAACTTTGGTTCTTTTACTAGTGAAACTTCCTTTTTTTGTTTTTAAATGATTAAGTTTAAAAAATAGGAAAATGTTTAAATGATGAAATTTCAATTTGCTTTAATATGTGTATTAAGTTGCTGTTCTCTCAAAGACACTGGGGAAAAAAGACAAAAATTCAATATTCCCTAGCATTTGAGGAGTTTATATTCTGAGGCATATGACAAGCAAACAGATGAGTAAATATAATATGATAAAATAGAATAAGGAAGAACGGAGCACTAATTACTAGGGACTCAGGGAAAGTTTCCTGTAGGAAATAGCAACTGAACCGAGTCTTGAATAGCACTTTCTCATCTTAGTATTCCAATAGAGCTATGATTTCATCAGTTCAGAAATTATCTCTAGAGATCACGACAAAACATACCTGCCCAGCCTATGCAAGCCTTGTCCATGTGCTTTCCAAAGTTTGAGCACTAATAGTTAATTGAAGTTTGTAGATGGTCTACAAACTATGTGTTTCATAAGAATGCTCTGTTCCTTTTCTCATCACTCTACCACCATCACTTCGTAGGTAGAAGTTTGCTTCCTCCCCCTACAGATTGAGAGATATATTTTTTCATTTTTTAATAATTTGTCACAAAAAAGAAACATCACCAAGAGGCCAATCTCCTGGTGATATATCTCGTTGTAATTGGCTAAGTTAGTCCTCAAAAAATGGAGACTGTTCCAAAGGCTAAATGTGGGACTTGTCAGAGGCTTTGCTCCATTGCCTTAGCATTCAAGAAACAAGGATCATCTCCATGCCACAATGAGACATCTGAATAGGACTTTCAGAGAATCTTTTCCCCAGATGATTTTATAGGGGTATTTAAAATACACTAAATGGAAAGAAACATGATTTTGTTTATGAATTTTCAGCAGGAGACAATAGATCACATTTGCCCCAAACAACTTTTATTTCTGTAGCCAGAAAATAATTCAAACCCCAAATTCAGATATTAGACCTTAATTACAAAGGAAGTTAGGTAAAAGCTAACTTGTACAAATGCTTGAAAATATTTTTTTAAAAAGGAATGTTTGTGATATTATAACTTTCTAAGGGGGGCAGGGAGAAAAGGGTGTTCATAACATGAAAGCACATAAAACAGGAGTGATGGAAAATTAATGCTAACTAACTAGACTTGACTATCTATAGTCTGAATCTTCTCTACACATCTCCAAAAGAAAATATAGTTCTTTTTTAGATATTCCTCTAAGAATTCTCCAGCTCTCTGATCTTATCATTGTCAACATCCCCTTTAGTTACTTAGTCTGTCAACAAGGAGTAAGTGCCTACTTTGTGCCAACCATTCTACTAGGCATTGAGGATACATCAAAAGGCTGTACTGCCCTTTCTTCAAATATTATGTTTGAAAATCTAGGATAGGTGATACATTTTAATTGGTAGAAAGGATAGATTGCTAGAATTAAAGACAGGAAGATGTAAGGGGATACAAGGATAAAAATGAAACATTCCCAGACCTCAAGGAGTTATTGGTTTGTGTACTCCCTCCAACAATGTGCCCCATGCATGTCTTCCCATCCAATGTGAGCATGTCCTTGGATGAGTTCCATTTGGCTTGTGTATGTGTAGGGGCAGAAACAAGGTGAGGTAAGACCTCCCTCTTAGCTGATTTGGATACTTCTAGTTAGTTACAGTGTCAACCACTGTGTTGCCTTTAGAAGCAACTTCTGATGAGGGTATTTGTATTCTTAGCAGGGATAGAATCCTACAATCATGTCACCTTCCTTGAAGTTTTGCTTAATTAAGAAATCAAAGTTACCAATAGACTAGAGGGTCATTTCTAATTAATTCGTCTGGAATCATTGAGTTGTTCTTGCTTTTTCAATTGGCTCATGTTGCTGTTTTTTTTTTTAAGTTAAAAACAACATTGTCCAATTGCTCAGAAATTGGGCTATATTTTTGAGCTGTCTCAGAGGAGCTGATGTGCACCATCTGCTGTTGACATTTTGTATTACACTATCACTGTCTGCTGTGGGACCACTCTTTAAAGGATCATTGATTTAGAGCCAGAAGGGATTTTAGAGTTCATTGAGTCCAACCCTTGCATTTTATAGTTGAGGAAACTAAGGCTTAAAGAAATTGAGTGATTTGCCCAGGACATACAGCTAGTAAGTATAGGACTGGAATTTGAACTTACATCTTCCTGTCTTTAATTCTAGCAATCTATCCTTTATACCAATTAAAATGTATCCTTTATCCTGGATTTTTAAACATAATATTTGATGAAAGGGAAATACAGCTTTTTGATGCATCAGCTACTTTTGGAGACAAAAATACCACATACATGGAAAGAAAAGTGAGGATAGGAGAATATGTGAATGAACATATTTGTTCATACTGCTTTATGCAATAACTTAATATAATTTATGAGTATTAAAAATAACAATAATGTTTATGTTACAAAATGGGTTTAACAAATAGGAAAACACTAAGAAATGTTGACTATCTACTCAGAAAACATTAAGACTTACTTAAATGAAAAAAAATAATTAGAGAATGAGTAGACTTTTGCTTCTCAATTTCCTGTAATTAATAGCTTTTGTACAAGAGACGTATTATATCCATTCATTCCATATGTAAGCAAATGTTTATGAGGCGCCTACTGCATGAAGAGGTAGACTCTGGGATATATACTAAAATAAACAAGAAATACTTCCTTCTGTCAAAGATCTTATTTTATGTTATATTTTATGTATGCTTTGGAGGGCTGCCTTTTTCCTCCCATAAAAGTTTTCTTTGGTCCTCGTCACTCCTCCTTCTTTCCTTGGCATTTTCATCATTCTGTACTGTCCACCTTCTACCTCTGTGATAGGGGATGCAAGAAAAAGAATAGTTGAGATAAAGATAAATTTAAGGCTTCACATTTTAACTGGAGGATTACAAAGAGATCACCCTGCACAGTAAATGAGACATGAACAGACTTCCTGAAATTCATCTAGGACTACACTTAATGGGCTTCCTAACTGCCTCATACACTTAGCTCTACCCAGGAAAATAGTAAAACAAAACAGATTTATGCTTTACATTATAACCTAAAGAATATGTTTTCTACAACAATCCTGGGAGGTAGGGAGCATGAATATTAGTATCTTGATTTTACAGATGAAAAGAATGAACTTTTATTTAGTGAAGTACCTATAGACATGCTACTAGGGTTTGATGTCAGACTCAAACACATTATATTCCCTTATATTCCCTAATTTAAATATCTAATTAAGATCCCCAGAACTGATTATTTGCCACACCTTTAATTAAAAGTGTATATTTTAAAGAGGGTACCATTATTAGCAGCCCAGTGGTATGCACTATAGCACATCAGTTGAGCTGATAAGGATTTGTGGAATTTACCTTGATGTAAAGGCATTCCAAGGATGTCAATTTCCTTACCTGTACAATGAGAATTAAAATTGCATCTGCTTTGCAGATTGTGTTGAAACTCAAATAATGTACTATATGGAAAGCATTTCAGAAACCTTGATGTGCTGTGTAAATTCTGTAGTTTCATAGATTTTCATAGAAAATTTTAGAAATTTAGAGCTGGAAGAGACCTTACAAGTCATCTAAGTCTAACCTCCTCATTTTACAGAGTGAGAACCTGAGGCCAATTGGATTAAGAGACTTTCTCAAAGTACAAAAAAATAATAATTGGCAGAGGTAGGACCTGAATGCAGGCCTTTCAGCTACAAACCTAGGGCTTTTTTTCCCTCTCTCTTACAGGAGGGGTATAAGTTCTTGTTATCATTATTATTAATTTATTCAACAAACATTTATCGTGTGCCTTTTGAGTATAAAGCAGTGATCTGGGCCTTAGGGTAGCTAGAAAGCTTAGCTAAAGCATTGGCCCTGCCCTTGTGAATTCTATAACCCTGTTGAAAGGTGGGGTGGGGATAAGATAGAAACGCGACTACAATATACAATGTCTCCTGTTAGGTATATTAGAAAGTTTCAACTAAATACCTGTATTCAGGAAGGCGGTAGGGGGAGGGCTTGTTTAGTTTGTTTAGACAATGCTTTAAAAACAAATATGCATTAATGAATAATAGGAACCCTCTTGATGAAGTTGACATGTGTATGAAGTTATTGATTTCATATACTCATGAATTTTTTTTGTTTTGAATTTGAATTGAAATTAGTGGTTTTAAAATGACTTCTTGGAATGGAAAAGTTCTTTCTTCATTTTCTTTATTGCTCATTTCCAATGAAGAATCATTGGAACAGAAATATGAGGTGATTCATGAGAAGAAAATGAATGGAGAAAATCCCCTATACTGGGAATCAGCTGTCCCAGATTGGTGCTGGTAATCCATTATGGAAAAGTATCAGGAAACTCACTTACTCATTTTATTAACTAGAACTGAATAGGTACTGATAGCAATATTCCATCCAGAGATCTTGTCTGGGCAGAATGAGGTAAATAATATGCTTTATGAATACAACAATCAGAAGAGCTTTCAATAGCCATTTTTATATGCAAGTCATAATTCATTAATACATTTATCTTCATGTACTGAATTAATTATCTCTGTGGCTTTCTACTCCCTACCCCCACCTTCCTAATTCTTACCAGGAAAACAGTTGGTGTTTTCTGCTGTGGACCCAGTTCAATTTCCAAGACTCTTCATCAGCTGAGTAACCAGAACAATGCTTATGGGACAAAATTTGAATACAATAAGGAGTCTTTCAGCTGAAAGCACTTGGGAACTGACAAGGACAAGGATGGACTCTTCAAAAGGATCTAGTGCAATTTTTTAGACTTCTAAAGTCAGCCACAGTCAACAGATAATGAGTGCCCAAGAATAGTGAGGTTTTCTTATTTATGATTATTTAAAATGTTAATGTAGGGGAGATGGAAGAATGATGATCCATCCACATGAGTTTAATCTGGGAACCAAAGAGGATCAGCAAAGTGTGGACTACCATGATTTGGTGTTCAATGCTTGCATTAAAAAGAAAGCCATTAGATACACACGGTTGATTTTATGGCTGATTGAAGAGCTCCCCATTGAGTGGCTGAACTTTCTCCTCACGAGGCTGATTGCCTCTGTCATCCTTCAGTTATTTTTGGTTGAACAGGTTCCAGATTGATCAAAATTAAAAATTCATACATAAAGTCAGACTACCTTCTGTGCTTTGTATACAAACAAAATAGTTTTAATTTGGAAAAAAAAACCTCTAGGCAAATGTACTAATATTTTAGACACAGCAACCCAGGACACTTTATTAATACGGGTACTCTGTCAACATCAAGCCACTTCACTACTGATGCTGATACCTCCATTTAATGCCCACAGCTCCTAGGCTATGGGATGGAAGTTTGTGTGAGTATGGATATGGCATATATATTTTTATGTTTTAATTTTAGCCTTGTATTCAGTCCAGGGATTCTACTATTCCCTGACAGGGGTTGAACCAAATGTCCTCATAGTCCCATCCTTACCTTCTTTGGTCTTTGGGAAAACAAACAAACAAACAAACATTAGCCTGAGTATCAGAGGACCTCTTCCACCAATTAACTTTATAGTCTTGTCAAAATCATCTGACCTCTCTGAGCCTCAGTTTTTTCATTTGTAAAATCAGGAAGGGGGTTGGTGTAGATGGCTTTAAAGTCCTTCTCGCCTTTAAAATTTCATGAATTTATGACCCTTCTTTATAAAAAGGAGGAAAAATGGGATATTATGTGTGTACAGTATCTTGATGATTGTTACTCCTTCCCTTTGAGCAAAGATGCTCTTTGCATCTTCTCATGGTAGAGCCCTTCTTTGTTGAGAATCTGTTTAATATAAATTTGGAGAATAAAATACTTCACTTCTTTTCTAAGCTTGCACAGAATAAGATATTCGTGGGCATTCCTTGGCTGTGGAACTCTCTGAGATCACTGAAAGTGTCACTTTACATAAGCAGAAAGTGGTTATTTTACCAGGCACATGCCACTAGAATTTTTGCAATTTAACTCTGGCATTAAGAATCAGTTATTACAGGTTACAGAGCTAATAACTCCAGTATTAAAGATGTTATTTTGCAACATCTAATCTCAGCAATGATATATAATAAATATTCTTAACATTATACTCAATTTCTGCCTCCTCCTACTGTCTTTTTTTTTTTGAGCTATTACTGAGACTCCAGTTAATGAACCATGGAATTCTTAGCTCAGAAAGGGATAGGTTTGCTTCACTGCAGAATCAGTCTGTGTTATTTAAATGTGTACGTGTCTCTCAATTACAAATTGGTACAATGGTTTAATCAGGAGGGCTTGGCATGCAAGTTTATTTCTACATGACATTGTTCAATATCATTTAACAAACATTTTTGAAGTATGCTAAAGATATAAAGATGAAAAATCACAGTCAGTTAACTAGCATTTATTACCTGCCAACTATCTGCTAGGCTTTGGGAATACAAAGAAAGGAAAAAAAATAAAATGGCCTTTGCTCTCAGTGAGTTTACATTCCAATGGGAAGACAAAATTTGGAAAAAAGCTTTGCACATGTAAGACTTATGTATACATGCATGTATATGTATATGTATATATGCATATATCCACATAGCATATTTAGACATACACTCACATGTACACACACACATATACACACATACACTTCCAGTACCTTCCCCTTATTACAGACACACACACACACGCAAACTATGTACATAAAATCTTTGTGTGTATATATGTATATTTGCGTGTGTGTGTGTGTGTGTGTGTGTGTGTGTGTGTGTGTGTGTGTGTACTAGTAGGTACTAGAGGTCAGGAGTGAAATTGGGGCAGGTTGAGCACAGATGCCATTATCAAGGCGTATTGTGGAGTGAATGATGGGAATGTGGTACATATTCAAGTAGGACCTCCCTGCAGAATACTATGGGTACAAAGGAGAAGTCCAATGTGCCATGATAATTTTGAAGAAGGAGAGGTTATTTTCAACCAAAAGATTGGGGATGAGAAAGGAATTGGAGGAAGTCCTATGATATGCAATCAATGTCACACGGATTCAGATTCACCAATAACATTTTGCTCAAGGCTTACTCTAAAATCACATGGAGCTCACTGATTGAATGGGAGGAGCTTATGGAGTGTTATATGAAAATGACTTGAAGAGAGAAGCTGAATTTTTTTACTTAATACACTCAGTATTGCTTAACAAACATTTATTAAGCTCCTCCTATGTGTCAGGCATTGTACTAGGCCTGAAGACACAAAAAACCCAAAACTTACTACCCTCAAAGAGCGTTCATTCTACTGAGGTATAACATGAGCACAAAAAAATCAAATATAAATGTGTAAAAATAAATACACATTTTTTTTTCTGTTAGGAGCACTAACAGCTGGGGAGGGAGGGGAGAAAAGCATGTCAGGAAAGATGTCTTAGATAACAGTTGAGTATAAAATTATTTTGTTAAATGATATGCCATGCCTATTTTCAACACTCTTATGAATTGAGACATAGATTAGAATGGTACAGTAGTTTTAGCCTTTTTGCATTTCATGGATAGCCTCTCACAGTCTGGTGAAACCTATGAACTCCTCAGAATGATGTATTTAAATGCACAAAATAAAATACACAGGATTACAAGGAAAACCAATCATACTGAAATACAGTTACCAAAGTCTTTCTAAAAAACAAAATCATGGAATCTAGATTAAGGATTCTTCATGTAGTATAGAGAAAGCAATCCTCAGGACCAAGAAGAACTGAGTTTCAGCACTACCTGTGGGTATATGACCCTGCATTATTAAGTCACTTAACCTATCAGTGCTCTATGCAACTCAGTAAGACTATATATTTCAGAGTAGGCAGTGATGCATTTGTAGTAGCAGCTTTCCTATCAGACAGTTCTTTATACTGGAGAAACAGCAGGTTCAGCCCCAATAGACTACCTTGATGATGTGTTAAATTCAGGCAAGAGTTTGCTTTGTTGGCTATCCTAGCTTCTTCCAAAGCCAAAGTCTTACACTTCTAGAGTGTATGTAAGGCTCATTATTAGGTGAGTCATCAGGGTTTAAATTGTGAATGACCAAGAGATTCAGTCTCCTTAAGAACTGCTTTCTCTGGTAGCTCTTAACTGTAGTTCAACCTATCTACAATTACTGAATGGAAGAGTGTGCCCCCCCCCATTTCCTTATTTTCTATTTGAAAAGGAAAGAAAACAGTTTTTTAGTGACATAACTTTACCAGATTTCAGAAAAAAAGTCAATCTCTGTATGCAGTGGCTGGTTTTAGATATACTACTAGTAGATTGAGAGTCACAGGAACTGAATTTTAAACTTTACTCCATCCCTATTTAGACTTTGACCTTGGACAAATCCCTCTTCTATCAAATGGCAAGCTAGTTAGACATTTTTGAAAAACTATCTTATCAGCTGTGTGATCTTTAGCAATATCTTTCATTTCCTTGGACCTCAGTTACCACAACTGTAAAATCCAGGGTTCAGACTACACAATCTCATCTCTGCTGGCTCAAAATTCTAGATAATATCCTAATTAGTTAGGGCATTATTCAAATAATTGTTGGGAATATTCCAAGAAATTAACCCGGTGAAATAAAAAAGAAAGCCTAAATTCCCTGCTTAATTCACCAACAATATAAAGACTCTTCCAAAGGAATTTTTCCATCAGAGCTTTCCCTTCCTCGAGAATCTTGTCCATTTTAACAGGTTTCTGTGGAAGAGAAGCGGTATTTTTCTATATCATGAATGAAAATCTCTCCAGTGACAATGAGATCCCATAATTGTTTCATGCTGTTTGCTTGGTGACTTACATTAGATCCCACTTATCTGGAAAATATAACAATTCACTTAGTTTTCCATTTGTTTATTTTTAAATAAGGGATTGAAATGAATGATTGGCTATTTTTCATTTCAGTGACTTGAAAAGCCCCCACTGTAAGAGTTGTGATTGGAAAATAGTTTAAAAATAAACACAAAAAAAGCTTGGTGACTTATCCAGTGTAGTGCAGTCTGATGAGTTGATCCATTGAACCAGAAAGTCTGTAGCTCCCAAATAAGCATTTACTTTGAACCATCACCATGGGGGATGGATTTAAATTATGTGATATTGTTTAAAAACACTTGCTAGAGACAAACAGGTTGTTGCTGCTAACAGTGTTGGTACCAAGAAGGCTTCAGCGTTTCAAAGACTCCATTTTAGGGGGAAAAAGATGCCATATCAATTTGAAACAGTAAAATTTGTAATAAAACATGTTTTAGAACATTATAAATTTATATATTTTTCTTAGAGGATCAAAAAAAAAGTTGCAGCTGGAAGTGACCTTAAAGGTAATTTACTCCAGTCCTCTCACTTGACAGATGAATAAACTGAGGCCCAGAGAAATGCCTTGCCCAAAGTTGTGGGTCCACAACCACTAGAACTCAAATCTCCTGACTTCCTCTATAGTATTCTTTCAAGTTTGAAATCTCCTATTCATAACATAATGTTTCTTATTGTTGTTTAGTCATTTCTGACTCTCTGTAACCCCTTTTGGGATTTTCTTGGCAAAAAATACTGGAGTAGTTTGCCATGTCCTTCTTTAGCTCATTTTACAGATAAGGAAACTGAGGCAAACAGAGTTAAGTGACTTGCTCAGAGTCACACTGCTGGTAAATGTCTGAGGCCAGTTTTGAACTCAGGAAGATGTGTCTTCCTGACTCCGGACTCTATCCACTGCGCCATCTTAGCTGCTCCATAACTAGTCTTTTCTGATAGAATGATGGCATTTAAAGCTGGTAGGGATCTTAGAAATCAACTACTCCAGGTGCTTATTTTACATATGAGGAAATTAAGTTCCCAGAGAGGGAAACTAACATCCCAAATGACATTTAGTAGTAGAGCCACAATTGTGAACTCGACCAACTGATTTCAAATCTCAAATTTATTGATTTAAGGCCCAATATAATATCTCTTTGTACCTATGTACCTACATAGTCTTTTAAAGATGGATTCTCCTTTTCAAAAATTATCCTTTAGCATACATGGCATTGAAATAAAGGATTAATTAATTTTGACTACAGCTTTGTACTTGAAAAACTGTATTGAAAAATAGTATTCTTCAAATTTTCTGAGTTCCTTTTTTTCTTCTTATCACATCCTGCCTTGTAGCATACTAGTGTGTGTGTATGTATACACACACACACACACACACGTATATATGTATATGTGTGTGTGTGTGTGTGTGTGTATGTATGTGTGTGTGTGTGTATACATATATATACAGCCAGCGGTGCAGGGCTAGAAGTCAGGAAAACCTGAGTTTGAATTCTGTCTCACATACTTACTAACTGTGTGATTGTAGGGAAGCCACTTAATTTCTCACAGCTTTGGTTTCCTCCTTTGTAAGATGGGAGTAATAAGAGCAACTATCTCCCAAGACCATTATGAGGATCACATGAGATACCATATAAAATCTTTTGCAAATCTTAAAGACTATATAAATGCTAGTTATAATAATGAAGGTGATGAGGATGGTAATTATATAGGGGGTTTATTCTCCCAGAAACCAATAGATTATAAGTTCTTGATGATAGGACTGCATCACTTCCTTCACTGTACCCCCAGTACCTAATAAAATGCTGGCACAGAGTAACTGCTTGATGAATGCTTGTTATTTTGAATGACTTCAATTTCACTGAATTACTCTAATGTTAGAAATTCAACTTTGCACTAAAATATCAAAATTTCTTGCTCCCATTCCTGCAAGAGAGGTAGAAAAGTAATAAAATGAAGTCAGCATCCTTTTTTATGCTTGCCCAACCCTAAATTGTTACTTGGCTACAATGGAAAGAGGGGAACTGTTATCTAAACTAGTAAAAAATGAAATAAATGTAATCATATATATAAAGGGATTGATTTTTACCACAAGTGGAATGCATAAGTATGCAATGAAGAGTGTGTATTTTCTGCTTTCCACTTTCCAAAAGCTCAAATAGCCCTGCCTTTCCATTAGGTATTACAAAATTCCAAATAGGAAAGGAAATCCAGCAATCTAAATGTCATTGACTAAGGTTGGGAAGAACATCTAGGTGGTGCAATTGATAGGGAACCAGCCCTGGAGTCAGGAAGGCCTGAGTTCAAATTTGGT